AAAATCCAAAAATGAATCGGAAGGATGAATGTCTGGCTAACGGGCTTGCCCGTTCCTCGACCTGTGTGGTTTTCAGCTGCCACCGACGTCCGAGGTAGGGGTCAGGACACTCGGGCCCACCCACTGTGAACTGTATAAATAAGCAATTCAAAAAAATGAGGGTAACGGTCTTCTTGTGACATCTAAGGTGGGTTANTGACGTCAGGTGTGATCTACTTGATCACATGCAACCACTGTGGAGATGAGTACATAGGCGAGACCGGAAGACCTTTAATATGCAGAATTAAGGAACATCTGGATGACCTGAAGAAATTAAGGCCCAAAACGCCCCTGGGGGACCATAGGAGAAACCACCACGAGGATGTAGAGTTAGGGTATCTATCAGGGTCTTGAGGCGGGAACCCACGACCTCAGCGCAAGACTCTTGAAGCTTTTTGAATCAGCGCTAAAAATCCAAAAATGAATCGGAAGGATGAATGTCTGGCTGTAACTAACGGGCTTGCCCGTTCCTCGACGTGGTTTTCAGCTGCCACCGGCGTCCGAGGTAGGGGTCAGGACACTCGGGCCCACCCACTGTGAATTGTATAAATACGCAATTCAAAAAAAGGAGGGTAACGGTCTTCTTGTGACATCTAAGGTGGGTTACCTATTGTGATTTACAATACTTTCTTATATATCTATAGGCCACACCTAAACTAAGCTGAGGTCTGAACGTCGTTTGGTCAGGATGAGTCTCAAATATTCTTTGGCTTCCAGGCTCTGACGAAAGCGATTGGCCGAAACGTTAGCCGAATAAAGCTTGCATCATCTTGGTCGTGGCTTCAGAGAGACCTCCAAAGCAGATAGCATTGTTGAGCTAATCCTTGCAGAACCCTAAGTTCAAAGTGTTCTCGGCAAGCTTTCCTCTCCAAAAACAATCTCCAAATTGAAATGAAAGTCCGAAAGAGAGTTGGAGAACTTGGTCGGTTGCACTGGTTGCTACAAGGAATGTGCAAGAAAAAAGATTGTGTTAATAATTCATGCCAGGAGGGTTTCATCAAAATGCTACAAATGCCACAAAAATTTTGTTCTGAGTGTTTTTCGAACTATTATACGTAGTGTAAGTGGGTGACCTATTGATGACGCTTGATTTCGCTCCTTTCGATACGGTCCTTGTTTTCCCTCATAACTATAGTTGGAAGTGAATGATTCTTGGACCACAACGCCTCAAGATTCTCTAGAAGGCAGTGAGCCTATCTGATACTTGAAAGCGTCAAAAATTATAAAAATATATAAAAGATAATGTAAACACCATCGTGGCCCACCGGGAGGCCGCGCGGTCATCAATGGGTTAAAGTAATATTTTTTAATACAAGTATTACTGGAAAGCATAATGAAAGCTCCAACGCAAAATTCATTGAGCAGTGGAAAAATGTTTGCGAGAGCTTTCGGACCATAAAAGCCGACATCTGAAAGTAAAGAAGTAGCATGTGGCAGGGCAACAGGTTGCCTCTATTTTGGTAGGCAGATATTTCCCCGAGCGAGTTCTTGTTCTTAGTTCAGAACACAGCGATAAAGACCTAACCAGTAAGTACTGAGGCTCGCTGTGTGCAACTTAACGCGTTAAGAACGAATTCAATAGCTACCTCGGGCACACGGATAAGGGGACTCAAGCGAGGGAGCCGCCATCCTTTCATTTTCTCGACAGCGACCTAACCACACTTCGCTCCGAAACGGCAAGCCGGTCAATATAAAACCTCGCATGACTGGAAATTACCGGAACCTTGCATTAGAGCACATGATGAAGTAATAAAAAAACAAAACCCGGCTTTTCACATAAAGCGGACAACACACACGCTGCACATTTCGCCGTCCCACAGTAGGGTTTGAAGTAAAGTAGGTTAGTAGGATTGTCCGACTCTACTAAAGTACTCTACTTCAAGTTTGTGCCCCAATAATAATCGCCAGTCGTTTAAAACAGCACGAATTTCGCCGCGCAATTTGCCGCGCGCAGCTCGAATCGCACGAATGTACCGTCCCCCGTCCCACAGCTTTAAGGTATTTCGCCAGCGGGCAAGTTTCTTCGAGTGGATGCCTCTACTCGCATTTCAGATGCGACAAGGGATCTACCCAAGACATGAAGAACCTTATTAGACCGGAACGATACACGCCACAAATCTTGAAAGGCTGGAAGCAATTAAGTAATATTTGGGCACCTTCTTCAAACATTCAGTTACATCTAAGTATTGACAATTTACGGCAGTATGTCGCGTTGTAAAAACAAACTGGCGCGATATTCATCGTACGCAATTACATCGCCTGTGATCAATGTGAGAGTCTGGTCTCTACCAGTTTCAGTGCTTGGCAAAGGGCAACAGATCAAGTCGCCCTTTGCCAATCACTGAAATGCAGATAGTGTTTTAGATAAAAAGTACAAGACGAGAAAAAAATCATAAAGGCTGAACTAACTGCTATCGCTATGACCCTTGCAAACCCAATGACGCCTGCGACACAGAATAGAGGAAGAGAGCTGAGATGCTCTTGCGCAATGTCGCAAACGATTTTACGTTGCTTTACAGCTAACCTTAATCATCTGAAGCTAGAAAGGCAAAGCGAAGCTTGATTATGTCTTGAAGCAGAAGCGAAGGCATGTCAACGAAGAGACTGCACGACTCCGATTTTCCTTCAGAAATCTTGATCGCTACATCAGGAGGAAATTGAGGGAGTTGGTGCTTTGAGCGAGACCAAGGTGTCGCTCCTCGAAGTAGATATCGAAGAGCGAAAAGCTGAGCATATCTCTTGTTCGTTCTGAGAAGCTGTGAAAAGGTCAAGTTTAGTACATGAGACACTGANAACACCACAAACTTGCATCAGGGTTTTTAGATGCTGAAGGCATAATAACTTTGAAGTACCCTTCAGCTTGAAAAGCGGAAGTTCTGATGAGGATAGCGCATCGATGGTGGAGAAAGGGAGGAAATCTGCACGACTCGCAAAACATCAGGTTTGTCATCGCTTCTCTGAGGATTTCTCAATATCGAAGATAAGCAGAAATTCAAGGACCAAAAACAAAACAAAAAGGGAACTCAAGTTTTTTTTGACATCATACAGGACTTTTGACTACGGACTGGATGAAATTTCTGAATTTGATCGTGAAAACCCTTTGAACCATAGATGTTGTAAAATTTCCTGCCCAAGAACCTAATATTCTATCCATAATAACCTAACCTTATCGCTCGCTTCTCGGCCTTTGGCTAAGACCAAAGTTTACTTTAGACCTAGCCTTATATTCACTACCTTACTCTCACCTCACTGTCATCTAGGTGCGAAGTTATCTCGTATAGAAGTTCCCACAACTCGTTTTTTCCAGTCCCGCTGTTACGAGATCGAGAGAGACGTCATCCATCACAGTTCGCCAGGCTGACCCATGGACTGATATAAAAACAGCCGTTGGTTGGCAAGGAGGCTGCTGCCACTGCTTGTCACTGGCGCTGTAGCCCATCGTAATTTCCTAGCCAACTTATCCAACCTTTTTAAAAATATGTAAAAAATGTATAAGTTAATGTTGATTACTACGGAATTATTATAAACACGCTACATGATCAGGTATAAAACTTGATAACTTAATAAGAACATTTCTGGGTTACATCTCGCAGGCCTGGAAGTTATGGAAGTCAAACTCAAGTGAACTCAAACTTAGCCACAAAAACAGGTTGCACGATAAAATAATCGTGTCAGGCAACCTTTGACGGCGAGTTGGAAGAAACAAAGAACAGTTGTGTTGATGGTAAATCATTTTGCAAATTCACTAATATAACTTTTCGACAATTTTGACCCTACAAGTTTTTCCATTAACCACTTAGATTTGCAACAATCCCCTCCTTGTCAAAAGTAAGGCCAAGGAACGACTGCGATTATAACCACGAAACTAATTCGCAAGTTTGGAAATTAGGTTCGCAGTATGAGTGCAAGACCATGCGTGCGTACTGCCACGAATGATCACGTTCATATAGAGCCTGTGACGTTCGGTGGGTTAGAAAGGCTCTGTTCCTCCTCCTCACTGTGTCTGTAGCTGACTTTTAAGTTGAGAACGATTTTCTCATAAGGAAAGCCAAGCTTCGCGTGTAACCCGTAAGGAAGCATCAGTGATTTACAGACATTTAATGCATCGCTCTTAGAAGACGGAAGACAGGGAGCGAACTTACCCAGGAGAGAAAGTGCTTCTGACCATGACCGCCCTTCCTCCCGCTTAGTTGCAATACATACTACCCCACGACCTTTCAAATTACCACAAATTGCTCACACATTTCCATTTAGTGTTACCCGAAGCACATAAAAGTGATGACGACAACACGAACGAAGAATATTTACTTGAACCTGTGATCAAACATGGAAATCAACAACGGTTTGAGATGCAAAGATTACTCCAAATACAACGTAAAAATGATAGAAATCAGATAACAAGAACTACCTATACCTAGTATAACAACTATCAACTAAATCTACAACGTGCAACAATTGAGCGCAGATTTGAATAACGTAACAAGTGGAATTAAGAAAGCTAAATTATAATAGGAACAGCACCTATACGCTAATGTTTAGAACATTCCTCCTCCTCCCATTCCACCCATTCCTCCCATACCGCCCATGCCACCACCCATGCCTGGCACTGGGTCTTCCTTGGGTAGTTCAGTAACAACACACTCCGTCGTTGCAAGTAAAGAAGCTACGCCAGCCGCGTCTTGCAAAGCAGTTCTCACAACCTGAATTAATAATAATATAGTTCACGGATATTTGCAGAGACACTTCTTTGAAAGCGGATGATTCACTGTAAGAAAATGATTCCTCCCAGGTCTAGAGACCTGCAGCAACCAAATACTCAAATGCCATCTTGTATTTTCGTGGATTACTTCACAGAATAAACGCAAAGCCACTCACTTTTGTAGGATCAATGATACCGGCTTCGAACATGTCGACAAATTTATCATTGAGTGCATCATACCCATATCCAATATTGTCATTCAAGAGGATCTGCATATAAGGGCTTGAAATCGACCAACAATCAAGAAACTACTATTTACCTTCTCCACTATTGAAGCAGGTTCTAAGCCAGCATTCTTTACAATAGTGCTGATTGGTTGACGGACAGCTTTTTTGATGATATTTACACCCAATTGCTGGTTTTCGTTAGGAGCCTAAAACATGAACCTTTCACAATAGGATCTTACCACGAATGTAACAGAAAGGCTTGTCGGAAGACGCACCTTGAAGTCGGTTAGAACTCTAAGGGCCCGAAGAAGCGCAACTCCTCCTCCAGGCACAATTCCTTCCTCAACAGCTGCTCGGGTAGCACAGAGAGCATCAGTTACGCGATCCTTCTTCTCGCTAACTTCTACTTCAGAGGCACCTCCTACTTTCAATACCGCAACACCCTTGGAAAGCTTCGCAAGCCTTTCATTGAGCTTCTCCTAAAAAAAACTCAAATCATTTTCGTTTAATCAGCTTGCGAATTGCTAAACAGACCTTTTCGTAATCGCTGGTGGACTGTTCAATCTCATCTGCAATTTGCTCGATTCGTTTTTCAATTTCTGCCGATTCACCTTTGCCACGCAACAAAAGAGTATCGTCTTTAGTTATTGTCACTTCCTCTACCTGAAAAGAGTAGATTTGTAGTTTCACTAAAATGGGCCGCGCAGGATCACGATTTGCCACATGCAGGCTGGAAGCGGTTAAGCAGAAAAATACAGTAATTCGCAGAATTCAGTAGAAATCAAAAACGACCCAAAAAACACTCTTAACGACTGCAAGAGATGCAAGAGCTACTTTTCTGNACTTCCTCTACCTGAAAAGAGTAGATTTGTAGTTTCACTAAAATGGGCCGCGCAGGATCACGATTTGCCACGTGCAGGCTGGAAGCGGTTCAGCAGAAAAATACAGTAATTCGCAGAATTAAGTATAAATCAAAAACGACCCAAAAAACACTCTTAACGACTGCAAGAGATGCAAGAGCTACTTTTCTGGGAAGAGCATGCCCAGGACGAACAGTACACATATGCCCCACCATCATCCACTTTTTAGAGGGTATCATCCTAATTTTGGGCAATTGGAGTAGATATCGCTAACATTGGAGTCATTCTTCTCCAAACTTTCCTGGCGTAGTGTTTTAGAAACTAACGCCACATCTTCGCCGCGATGTGTTGATTGTTCGTTAGAGTACAAGATAATCTATCAATTTTCTGTTCAACTATCAACGCAGCCACGAGAAAGAGGCTACTCTTGAGCTGGCCTCTATGGTAAACATTTCCTTAATGTTTCCTTAACATTTCCTTAATGTCCTTACGTCCATTATCCGCCGACAGTGTCCTGTGTACGGTTCAGTGTTTGAAATGTTAAGGATCAAAAGCATTACCTCTCCAAAGTCGCTGAGTTGAATGTCTTCCAGCTTAACCAAGTTCGAGTCATCTCCAAACACAGTTCCACCAGTGGCGATTGCCATATCTCTGAGCGTATTCTTCCTGTTGTCACCGAAGCCAGGTGCTTTCACTGCTACCACTTGAAGTCCGACCTAAAAAGGTAATAAGTTGTATTAAATTGAATGGTTTACTATTAATACTGCAGTATCAAAAATGCCTTATGTGAGGCATACCTTCAAACGGTTCAGCACCAAAGTAGTGAGCGCCTCTCCATCAACATCTTCTGCGATCACCACCAGGGGTTTCCTCACTTTGTTAGCCAGTTCAAGGGCAGGAACGATATCTTGGACATTGCTAATCTTCTTCTCGCTTAGCAGAACTAATGCTTTTTCGTATTCAACCTGAGAAACCCATTTTTTGCGAATGTGTCATTGTTATGAGAAGGCCAGCCACATACCTTTGCACCCTTCGATGTGTTAATGAAATAAGGAGAAATATAACCGCGGTCGAACTTCATGCCTTCAATCAACTCCAGTTCGTCGTTCAAAGTCTTTCCATCCTTGACGGTAATCACTCCCTTTCTTCCTACCTGAAACAATATTCTTAGACCTACTGAAAAATACTGGAGCAGTTCAAAACTAACTTTTTTCATTGCCTCGGAGATAAGGTTTCCGATATTACTATCACCATTCGCAGAAATAGTCGCAACTTGGGCAATCTCTTCGGGCGTAGTAACCTGGAGAAGGCCACATCTATTCGACGAATCTTATTTGAATTTTCATGCAACATTAGAAAAGCTGACCTGCTTGCTTTGCTGCTTCAAATCTTTTACGATTAACTCGACGGCAGCCATAACACCTCGTCGGATTTCAACAGCATTTGCGCCTTTGCTAATGTTGTCGAAACCTTCTCTCGTTATTGACCGAGCTAGTATAGTCGCACAAGTTGTACCATCTCCCGCTTCTTCGTTGGTCTTGTTGGCGACATCCTAAATTCGTTCTCCATAGTTACTACCGCTTAACGTTGACACTACTGTTTTCAAACGAACCTGAATGAGCTTGGCTCCCATGTTATGATATTTGTCCTTCAAATCAATAGCTTTAGCAACAGTGACTCCATCCTTGGTGATTTTTGGGCTTCCCCAGGACTGCTCGATAATCACGTTTCTACCCTAAACATTCACTCAAAATATAATGTCCAACAACTAGCAAGCACAACTTTCCAATGTTATCCACGATACCTTGGGGCCCATAGTTACTGAGACGGCATCGGCGAGCAAGTCCACTCCGACGAGCATAGCTTTCCTGCCTTCTGCTCCAAACTTAATGTCCTTAGCATAGCTTCTCACAAATGAGCGAACAATATTAGCACCGGCCAAGCGCAGCATTGGGACCTCAAAAGGGAACTGCCTTACAAAAAACATTTAACGTATGCACTGAAATATATACATAAAACCGTCATTATTTCACGAGCAAATCAACTAACACGAATCAGCCGCAAATGAATGGAAAGCGAATGAATTAGCAACGGAAACAAGCTTTCTTGGGTCGCCTAACTTGAAAAAAGCTGCTTCAGAGCATTTTCTGCAGTTCGATTCAAACAAAAGGGCTTCAAAGAAGTTGTAAGATGGCAAGGTAACAGCATTAGGCATAGTAAAAGACATATAAAGGCTGGAACTGAAGAATAAGATTTGAAACGAAGTCCTGGCCAGTGGGAATGATGCAAGAAGCGAACTCGGGCTGAGTACGACAAATTTAAAGGACGAACCTTCCAGAACGTGCTTCTCATTGGTCCGTCCCGCCCTCTTCGTCTGGCAGTGGGCGATTCAACTCAGTTCTCTAGCTTTCTGCTCATTCCTTCGCGATGTTTCTGACCGCTGTCCGTCGTGCTATCGTGAGTTTTACGTTTTCTTAGTACTAATTGGTTATTACAACTAATTCCACAAAAGTTTGAAGAGGAAGTTTCCCAGGGAATGGGTTGGTATTTTGCATCACTTTTGTTCCTGCGCATGGGGCACTGTGATTCGATTAACCCTGTACAGAATCGTTCGTGGCTTTCTGAAACTGGGAGGTCACGCTAGTTATTTCGACGATTCAACGTCAACCGATAGGGTAGCGTTGGAAGAAGCGGTGAAGCGGGAGCATTCATGGATCAACAGGAAGGAATTGAGCGTCAGGAGTAAAATCTGTAAGCTTGGAAAGAAGCCAAGTGTAGTATGTGAAGGGTTTAGAGTGAATCGTTGCAAAGATTTGGGAAAACACTAGCTAAGCGGATACCAACGAAAAGGATAAGGCTATGTCAATTTGGTGGATTCCGCCTGTCTAAGTTTTGAGAAACCCATCTTCCTCTCTTCGACAACAGCAGTTGCGGAATTCGTCCAGTAGTGAAACCTGGCCTTATAAAGGGAAATGCGATTTCATCGGAGTTAAAGTGAAGTTGGAGGGCTGGAGGGAATATGTGTGATAATCGCAGAACGAGCCTCGTTTAGCGGATAGATTTTGGGACAAGTATGGTGTCCAGTGATGATTGCGGTGTATTCTTCAGGAACATGTGAGCTACATCACCCGTTCCATTTGAGTCGAGAAGCGATCGTAAGCTAGTAATAGCGATCCTTCCATTAAGTTAACTTGGGAACGAAGTTGTTGAGGTTCCAGAGATGAAATACAAAATAAAATGAAGGACTTCACGGATTCAGTTTCAAAATTCACGAGTTCGTCTGGGAGAACTGCAAAGTCAGTTGCAACATTCACGAAATAAAATGCAAGGATAAGACCGGTCGCAAGACCTTCTGTATGACTTGAGAAATCGTATGAGGAACCCTGTAAGATGCGAAGTTCACTGTCGTTCTTCTTCTGAAAAAGCAGTCCCGGTCTGTTTCGCTGGCGTTGGCAGGACCACGAAATTCACTCGATTTTACTGAAACATCCGAGCGGCAATTAAGATTTTGGAACGGTATGCCGGTGGCCAATATAACTACACAGACAGGCATTTGCGATGCGGGAAAAGTAGTTTTGTCATGCAGCGCCTTGTGAGTTGTCATTCTTAGTTAGTTAGGGTTCATACTTGAGAATAGGAGCTTCCCAGATACACTCGGACCGTTCTGCCCTACCGGAGGCGGTGATATATCGCTTCCGCGTTGATCATCGATACACTCATAACTGATTGGGTTGGTATAAGGCGTTGCATTGGTATGACCGATGTATAAAACGACCGATGTATAAAACGATTTCTCAAAAACAATTTTGACTTTTAGCATCATAAAAGATGTTACTACTTGTTTTCAGTGATTCTAAGTAGCAAAGTACATAGATTACTTTCTGGGTTTTCCATCGAAGGCGATTTTCTGAGCTTTATTCAGGCTAGTGATCTTCTGAAATCCTTCAAACCTCTTCATGATCGTGTACTGGTCGAACGCTGTGCCGCCGAGACGAAGACTAAAGGCGGGATCATGTTGCCGGAAAAATCACAAGGCAAGGTATGCGGTTTCATTGCAATTCCTTTCATTCTAGACTTTGGCCATGTTTGGCATGTGTGCACCGACTGCTTACAGGTACTTGAGGCGACTGTAATCGCAGTCGGACCAGGAGCTCGAAACGAGAAAGGCGATCTCATTCCCATGTCTGTAAAGTCGGGAGATCACGTGCTTCTGCCTGAGTATGGCGGCACAAAGGTGAAGTTGTCTGTACAAACGTTGAGCGTAAAAGTTCGTAGTTGGAAAATCGTGAGTCCCTGAAGCCACTATTCCGTGTCGTCTGCTGCGACTCTTACAATTAGATACATGTAGTTTTACTGATCAATAGTTTGGAATGGTATTGATTGACTAATACAGTCTACTCAGATTCTCTAATTTTCCAATTGCTTTAACATCATAGTTTCCGCGAATTAATCGCATATTGCCACTATCCATTTCTCTGTGACTTTCCTCATATGCTTCCTCCTACTCCTCCCACCCCCACTCCCCTGTACATTATTTTCATGTACAGACGATTTCACGCGTCATAATATTTCACAGTGCTTTGCCGTACTCGTTTGTTATGATCGAATTGTTTATTAGGTCAACGTTTCGACTAACTCGTCGTTTTCAAGGGCCTGAAATAGTTGTCAGCTCTTGGCCTGTGGCTTATCTGTTCAAGCGCCCAAAAGCACTAGGCCAGTTGCAACTACTCCAAGAAACTTAAACACCGAAACATCCCTTCCAAGAAACCAACCTCCTGTGGTTCCACCAGCGTTGTCGTTGGTTGGGCGCCTGGTCAGGTATCAGACCAAGTGCTTCGAACTACTTTTAGGTCCTTGAAGACGACGAGTTAGTTGAAACGTCGAACCAATAAACGGTTCTATCATAGTAAACCTGCACGGCATGGCATTGTGAAATATTATGCTATATGCCCAGGTTTCAAGAAGATGGAACGTGGAACTTATTCCACAATTCGTTATTGCATCATTTCCAAGATCGTGTAACTGAGAACTACCCTAAGGGAGACTTTTTCAACTTTCAATTGGAAAGGTTCAGTACGGGCACATGGTCGTGCTTCATTCTACAGGATAACTTTAATTCAATAAAAGTACTGGGTAAGCAGACGGGTGTTGGGGGTGATTGCTTTCGTAGTTTTGTTGCGTTTTGATCGAACATTCAAGCCCTAATCCACCTGAACAGGAGGTCCTGGATTTCCGTACTTGTTTTTTCAATATTTAGACATGTTCGTTATTCATTCTATTCAGGTAGTTGTGGACGAAAAGGAATATTCAATCTTCCGGGAGCAGGACCTGCTTGGTGTTTTCCATTGATTTTCAATTTGGAATTGCCATAATCCCGTTATATGAGTTAGACATTAGGATTGTTAGGTTACTCATTGTCATTGTTACTTGTTACCAGCTGAAGCTATTGTTGCAGGTTTTTAATTGAACATTAAAGTATTACGATTTCTAAAGAAATATGCTCAAAACTCGTCATTTCAATTGATCAAGACATGTTCCATCTATTCACTCTTACTGTATTTGGTTGATGATTGAGAGAATCTGTCGTAAACGTGCACACAGTACACAGTTTATCACAACCTGAACAGTATTAGTGATCAGTCAGTACTCAACAGTGTTAGGGTTGATCACTGAACTGTTTCAGATGTACATATATATGTATGTGCGATGTATAAGCAACATTGCACCGTTAGGAGGCAGTTCAGCTAATCTTAGAAACAAAAGAGCTTATGAGGCCCAAGGCAGTGTGGAGGTTATGGATTCGCCATATAGGTATCGAGTTACTACTGTATGCGGCAGTGGCCATTGCGCATGACGCCGACGTGGGAAAGGTTGAGGCGAGCGCAGGACTGGTACAAAGAACCGGTATAGAAGAGTATGTCACAAGTGTTGTGAACCATAGCGTTTTACAGTCACAGGAAGCTGAAGTATCAATTTGACATTCATATATGAAGAGTTCGTTCGAGGACAACATTGAGGCGCGGTAGAGTAGCCGTTGCAGCAATGGCAAATATCAAACGTTGTGCGTAGAATTAACAGTGCGAAAACGCTCACAGAAAAATGAGTTGCCAAGCAACAACTATGCTGTGACCAGAAATACTAAAAGCTAGACCCTTCATCAAACACGTTTACAATGCTTCACATCTTCATTTGTCTGGCGTGGTCCTTGGTGCGTGCCGTACATTGGCAGAAAGGTTCGTTTGCTGGTTACGGGACTGTTTTCACTTGCGAGAGGGATGGCTTGGCGCTTTTGCTGCTTCCTTTACGTTCTAATGAAGCTCACATCGCTGAAGCAGCACGAACCAATGTGATTATCTGTTTTCATAACTCCTGTTCCCTGGAACAGGAGCGTTAAAATTAATTGTAAAAATGACTGGATACGAATACTGATAGGTTACAGAAAGTCATAATAATTTATAGAGGCCGATGAAGAGCCGAAAATGAGGGGTCACTGGAACACTTGTCCCGTTTGTATTAACAGTAAATCCTTGGCAGCTTACTTTTAGTCCGTTCAAAAATAATCGGCTGAAAATTGACTTTGGTACAGATTTTTTTCTAGGAGTTTTGTGAAATTCTCGAGTAATTACCATGAGGTTGCCTCAGAAGTTCGTGCGCGTTGCACTGAATCGGCTACGCTTTGATCGAAGCGATTTCATAAGAAACGAGTGGCTCTCTAGCGATCCCACTCGGCTGCTCCAAGATTTAGTTAAGAGAGTTCTTCGCTCCTTCGAAAATGTTTCGACGTCGAGAGTTGAGAAACAGTGCGTTTAAGTCAATTACATTCAATTACATTGGGAGGGAGGAGGGCAAGGAGGGGGGGGGGGGGGTGCATCAGTAGCTGGATCTTCCAGAAGGATTGAACTGGCGGTGAGATCTGGGCGTTTGCGGAGTATAGCGCTGAGAGCTCTTTGTTCCCAACAGCTCGTGAGTTAGGTCTACTGTAGTTAGCTATGAACTCGGGCGGTAAGCTCCTGCTAATCTCTTGGGAACTCAACAAGGAATACCTGTTCCACAACAATGCTAGACCGACCACACGTCTCGGAGAGCATGTAGCTCGAGACCCTGATACGTTCTGGGAAATTCCACCGCACCCTCCATGCGGTCCCGATCTAGCCCCTTCCCACTACCACCGATTTCTGTTCCTCAGCAGCCACCTTGCGGGCAAGAAATACGATTCCTCAGAAGATCTTAAAATGACCCCTCTCTCTCTTTTTCAGCTCGAAACTCCAGGATTTCTAGAGGCGAGCTAACCACACGCTACCTGCTCTTCGGCATCAATTGATAGTGGTGGGGTACGATGCCCAGTGCATATGATACGCATTTATATTGCATTTTTCCTGAGGTGAAGGTAAATCAAGAAGTTTAAAATTTGCATGAAGGCATGTGAGACAGCCTAATATAAAACGAAACGACCCTCTCGTATGCGCATAACTTATCCGGCTCCTTTTTTCGATGATGGCCGATCTATCTTACCATATTCGACGCCTACTTCTTTACGATTTCTAATCCGACCAATCCGCTCCCTCATTTGATGACGTCGGTCAAATTGGTAGCTTCTATATTTCAAAAATTCAAAAAACAAAGTACTTATATTTCAAAAGTCTTTTCAAAAAAATTGTGATCAAGAATGTATCATTTGTTCTGAAAGAGTAGTGACATGAATAACTGTTATTTTCCTTTCAAAATATAAGTATGATTTAATCTTCCTCCTCCTCTTCCTTCTTCTCCTTTCGCCTTTCCTCTTTCTTCTTGAATTCTACTTCCTGCTTCTTTCCTTTTTATTCCTCCTTCTTCTTCTTGGCATTTGTCCTACACCTCACAAGGCTGCTGTTCCTGTCAGCCGTCTACACTTTTTCCAATCTTCGGCATCTCTTGCCATTACCCTAAAATCCCATAGATAAGAGCGGGTGAACCTACCGGTGAAAAATGAATTGGAAAAAATCGAAATTGAATGCAGTCACCCCT